GGGGGAGGGGGAATCGCTCCAGATCCTATAATGGAGTAATGGTGCGTGAAACAAGAAGATAATTTCTGAGTTGGGAGCCGGCACGAGCGGAGGGCGAGGCTCACACACACACACACACACACACACAAGCGTGAGCACAACACACATATGCACGCTTCCTCACGCACGCACAGTGTCTCATAGCTCACGCGCTGCCGCGAGGGTGGTAGAGTCAGTGCTGGAAGCGGCGCGATTTGGAAATGCTTGACGCACGCTCGAGCGGATGTCTCCGAGGAAGGGAATCCCAGCCCAGAGTGTGCGGGTCTAGGGCGAGCTCCGGATGCGCACTCCTAACATCTGCGTTTGGATGACACCCGCACTGTGGGCCAGAAGACCGGTGTTGGTGGCCAAAATTCTAGACCCATTTAGAGCTCCAGAGTCGCGAAATGGGACTCGAACCGAACGTGTGACCCCACCAAAGGATTGCTCTCCGAACGAGGAATCCATTGGTGGGGTCACAAACTTGGTTCGAGTTCAATTCAGCTTCTCTGGAGCTCAAAACGCGTGTATAATTTTAGACGCCTCTCCGGTCTTCTGGCCCACTGTGCGTATTTAGTAGTCAAGAAGACAGACACACGGCACGATTAAACCAACAAGCTGTTCGCAGCAGATTTTCGTTTCGGCGGGAAACGCTAATCTCATACCTGGAGGCCGACGAGAAGGGGAGAGAGGGAGAGGGAGAGAGAGAGAGAGAGAGACGCAAGACGAAAAGCAGACGAGCAGCTTGGCCAACTTTTATGAAATGTCAGCCGCGGTGTCATCGCTGTCTCTCTCGCACTCGCGACGTGTGCGAGAGAGACAGAGCATCACTCAGCCTGCTTGAGGTGGGATACCACTGTCAGGCACCTCGAGCGGGCCGCGTCCCGACTCGCCGAATTTGCAGGGCCGTTATTGGCCGCCAGGGATGCATGTTTGACTCGCCCCTGGGGCGTCACTGCACGGACAGGCCTGGGAGTCCCTAAGCAACACACACCGTGTCCATCCCATTGAGACCTCCCTCTCTCTCCCTCCCTCCTCTCTCTCTCTCTCTCTCTCTCTCTCTCTCTTTCACTCTCTCTCCCACCTGTTACAGGCCTCATCCCGTTCACGTCACAACAGCACACACTCTCGCTGCCAACCGCTACGAAAAAAAGAGACAAGATCAGCATGCAGCAGGAGGAAACAAACACAAAGAAGTCGATTGCCTGCTCCGAGTGACAGTCACAGGTGATTATTGGCGTGAGAGAGATCTTAAAGATTTTGGAGATGGGATTTGGCATCAATACTGAAAACGTAATGATGTTTGAAACGTGACAGTTATCATTGCTGAAGTCATAAACTTTCCAATCGGAACTGTGTCACACTTACGTCATTCGTCTATTATGTACGAGTTCTTATTGCCACCTTACTGGCATTCAGAGCAGGGTTGGTGTCACCAAAGAATAGGTGTAATAGACTACGGTCAAAGAGTCGAACAAACAATCAGCCACTGACATAAGTTGATTACCTCAACAATTCCAGTAAAAAAGGTATTTAAGTTGCTTCTTAATTTAGTCGCAGGTGATTGCTATTCCGACTCCTTAATATTAAAAACGATGACTTGACGGCATGCCACTACTCCTCAAGAAAACACATTCCAAAGAGATGAAGAGGATCAAAATTGAAAGAAGAAAATAGTTGGAAGGTCAGAGGGTTGCAGAAATGTGTGCAGGGTGCAGTGGTATCAAAACAAGGTGAACATATGCAATTTGGAAGACGATGTGAACAGTAAAGTGAGAAAGAAGAAGAGAAAAACCACAAGAGAAAAGGATAATGAAAAAAAATTCAAACAATAAACAATCTACAACTAAACATGTTAAAAGAAATGGAACGTAAAGAACGACTAAAAGAAAATGGTGCCTATTTCAAATGCGAATCAAATAGTTGAAATCAAAGCAAAATTGAACAGAATAAAAGCAAAGTCAAAATTCACGGAACAAAAGAGTGATTAATAAATAATTTGAAAACAGTCGATTTATAGCGGGATCATGCGAGATGGTTTTATTTCTACTGGTTACTTCATTGAACAAGTTTTCCGCAATGTCATTTTAGGTGCCATTTAAGATTTGTATCTGATTTAATATGCGAAGGCAGTTTATAAATTATTCATTATGTAACAATCAATCGCGGTGAAAGCAAATGAAAAAAACAAAGTAAAATTGTGAAAGTGTCATGTGCTTGATGATACAGCAAGGATTTGGGGGCAGGGGGTCCTAAATACACGACATGGATTTTAAAGTTTCATTGTTTTAGAAAAGGCGACTGTTATAGTTCTGAGTTTGGGGATGGCTAGCGCATTGACAAAAATTTATTCTGCCAGGACCACATACTTCAAGCAGCCTTGTTGCCTTGGTAACGAAACTAGTGCCATTTCCGCTGAAAATACATACGCAAAAATCCAATAAACCAACAACAACAACGACAACAAAATGTAAACAACACACCCGTATCGCAGCAATATACAAAACAAGGAACGAGCGAATGTAGTAAAAATACAAAGTCAAATGCAACGTCAAAATACAACGAAATATCAAATAAAAGAGACCGTTTTGACGCGTGGACCGGACGCTGCGAGGAGCCGCTGCCAACCTGTGCGACACAGAAACACGTCAGATGGGGCAAAACAACAACAACATGCGGCTTGTCTAGAAGAACAACAACATGTGCAGGACAGTCAAGGAAAGAAGTCCTCGAGCTCCGTCTCGTGGGAGCTCGAGGCGCAAGGTCTACGGGAATGTTTTTGGTGTCTAAGAGAGACTTACTTTCAAGTCCTACGGCTACGTTAGATTTAGATCATAACAAGACGCTCGTCCTGGAGTAAACAATGTGCCTTGCCCTCTCGGAAATGCGTTTCCGAATTATGTAAGGACACCTTTTGCTCCCCCTTGATCACTTTACACGGCGAAAACGGTTCCTGGTTTTCCCAGGAAGCCGTGGTAGCGACGTCGGTGATTTCCAGGGAGTTCCTGGGAAAACCAGGAACCGTTTTTACCGTGTAGCATGCTTTGGTGGAGGCAATTTTGGGTCGAGGCGCGACTTTGGTCGGGGTGGTCGGCCGGCCGGCCGAGATTTGCCCGTTTCGCAACTATCCCCGAACTAAGTTTACACCGCTTGCGACGACACGGCCAGTGGGTCAGTCGGCGAGCCACTCCGACCATTCACAACGCGGCGCGCTTCTTCTGTCTCTGTCACCCCCTCCGGACGGCGCGGCAGGCGCGGCGCCGTTCCACAGTGGGCCAGAAGACCGGCGGAGGCGGTCAAAAACACAAGACGCGTTTTGAGCTCCAGAGTCGCTAAGTGGGACACGAACCGAACGTGTGACCCCACCAATGGATTGCTCTCCGAACGAGGAATCCATTGGTGGGGTCACACGTTCGGTTCGAGTGATATTCAGCGACTCTGGAGCTCAAAACGCGTCTGGCCGCCTCCACTGGTCTTCTGGCCCACTGTGCACCCCTGCCTCCCGCCGTCTCGGCCCGAGAGTGCGAGAAAGAGGCCCCGGAATCAGTCTGCGCGACGGCCGGGTGTTGCCAGGGGCCAGGGGACTCCCTGAGGGGAGCCAGGGGGAAAGGGGTCAGTGCAGGCCGATCGTTAGACTGGATTCACCCCCGCCATGGCGCGCCAAGGTGGAGGGCGGCGGGCCGCGGTGTGACTGCCATCGAGAGCGTTAAACAGCATGCACACTGTGGCACGCCCCCCTCCCCCCCCCTCCGCTCGCCGAAACGTGCCCGGCCCGCCACCGCAGCGATTACAGGCGGCCGGAACCCCGTGCACCCCGTGTCCGGGAACGTGTCACAGAGCTGCACTCCGGCAGGTGGTGGGCCTGCGCGCCGCACAGTGCGCCAGAAGACCGGTGGAGGCGGCCAAAACTCGAGACGCGTTTTGAGCTCCAGAGTCGCTTAGCGGGACTCGAATCGAGCGTGTGACCCCACCAATGGATTCCTCGTTCGGAGAGCAATCCAATGATGGGGTCACACGCCCGGTTCGAGTTCCGTTAAACAACTCTAAAAAAAAATCAAAATTGAAAATTATGTAAAATGATAACAAAATGTATTGGGAAACTTGTCAAGCAAAATGCAAAAAGCTTGAGCACCACTTTTACAATCTTAGGCGTCAAAATGAAAAAAAAAATGGCCATGGAGACACAAAAGCATGGTCATCATCATAGCACAGACTAATGGTGCACCTAAATTCCTTAGCACATCAAAGTTCAAAAACTGTTCCATCAAAATTCAATAATTGGTACATTGAAATTCAAAAACAATTCTCATAATTATTCGAAAAAATTAACTATCAAAAAAGTTTATGAACATTGCCCGGTATTCAAACTCACTGCAACTATTCCGTCTAAAAGTATCGCGATCAACAGGATGTTCGAACACGTTTCAGGTGTGCAGCCGGCACAGTTGCTTCATTAATCGTTCCGGTGACAGACGGACCGACGGAGAGGCAGGCAGACAGACAGACAGACAGACAGGCGGGCAGAAAGCGAGGAGACGGTGACAGCTTAGCAGGCGGTGGTGTCTCTGTCCACGCCTCCCTCTCTGCGGCGCTCTGCGGTGAGACAGCGGGCCAAGACGAAGGGTAATTATCTCCCTCGTGCGACGCGGCACGGTGGGCCAGAAGACCGGTGGAGGCGGCCAAAATTCGAGACGCGTTTTGAGCTCCAGAGTCGCTAAATGGGACTCGGACCGAGCGCGTGACCCCATCAAAGGATTGCTCTTCGAACCAGTAATCCATTGGTGGGGTCACAAGTTCGGTTCGAATCCTGCTCAGCGACTCTGCAGCTCAAAACGCGTCTAGAGTTTGGACCGACCGCCTCCACCGGTCTTCTGGCCCACTGTGCGCGGCTCGGCGCGGCCCGGATCTGCCCGGATCTGCCTCTCGGTGTTTCCTTTCCATTTGCCACCGCCCCTCACCTGGGCGAAAACTCGCCCGTCGACACCACTCTGTTAAAAAGGGCCTCGCTGCTAAACGCAGACTGCCGTCAATGAATCTGCGGAACTTTCCGCCCCGCACAGAAAAGGGCGGAAAACGACACAAGTTCCGCCGTCTTCTTCAAGAAGTCTCTCAAAATGTTACATGGCAACGTCGGTCATTATGCCCGCTTTTCTCCACAAGAAGTGCGGAGACTACAGCACACGGAGACACAAACACGGAATCTGTGACAAACCTAGTGTGTGCACCACATTACCGCATTCACCTCGTCCTGCCGACACGACTCACCTGCAACACAGAGAAACAAAAGTGGTTAAAAAGTGGTTGGGGGTTGCGAACACGGACACTCTGTTTACTTTTCTCAGGATCCCTGGATTCCTCGCTCGACGAGCAATCCATCTCCGAACGAGGAATCCATTGGTGGGGTCACACGTTCGGTTCGAGTCTCATCTAGCGACTCTGGAGCTCAAAACGCGTCTAGAGTTTCGCCCGCCTTTACCGGTCTTCTAGCCCACTGTGCACCGGGCCGCAAGGGAATGGGAGGGGAGGGGAGAGACTACGCGAAGGGAGGATGAGAGAGAGAGAGAGAGAGAGAGAGAGAGAGAGAGAGAGAGAGAAAGAGAGGGGGGGAGGGGAAGGGGAGAAAAGAGTGTCGGAAGGTGGAGCGGGCTGAATGTGGGCCGCTTTTGCCACGCCGTCATTGGTCCCCGCGTAGGATAGATGCGACACACTGCTTGACAGCGATCTGTCACGCCCAACGTATATATAATGCTGAGGGGGTGAAGGATGGAGCACCGGCCAGCACCCCCCAAGGCGCGAAGCCTCTTCATATAAAGACGCTCTCTCTCTCTCTCTCACTCACTCTCCCTCTCTCCCTGTCACTCTCTATGTCTCTCTCTCTTAAACACACACACACACACACACACACACACACAAAAGCAAAGACACGCTCATCACACCGACGGGGTGCGAGTAAGACCACAGCTCCAGGACCACAGCTCCTCGCGAGACGGCAAGTTTGCGAACGAAGCGAAAAAGCACAGCCGGTGTGTTATCTCCATCTTCATCCATGCAAATGGACCGGAAACAAAGGTCGCCATCTCATTTCCATTTCCGCCTGCAGCACTACAGTGTTTCCTTTACAAAGATGCCCCTTTCGTGTTAATCTTTTTTTCCTTTTTTTTGAGGGGTGGGCGGGGCATAGTGGGCCAGAAGACCGGTGGAGGCGTCCAAAATTCTCGACGCGTTTAGAGTCCCCGAGTCAGTAAAGAGGACTTAAACCGGACGTGTGACCCCACCAATGGATTCCTCGTTCGGAGAGCAATCCATTGGTGGGGTCACAAGTTCGGTTCGAGTCCCTTTAGCGACTCTGGAGCTCAAAACGCGTCTAGAATTTCGCGCCGCCTCCACCGGTCTTCTGGCCCACTGTGCTGGGCCGGTGTCTTCTTTTCAGTTTCGTTCCTTCCGAGGATTCCGCGGCGCTGTTGTGCAGCGAAGGCATTCAGAGCCAACGTGGGGCATGATGCGTCGATCAGCCCCTGGCTGCCCCCGGCCTCCCCCAGCGCCAAGCAGCACACTGAGAGTCGTCTTCGTCGCTCTGTCTCTCTCGCAACACTCGGACGCACCATGAGTGCGACAGAGACAGAGCGCCGACCCTCTGAATCAGTCTGCAGGGAGGCTGGGGTCAATTCCTGCTCCTTGGCTCGTATCGCCAGACTCATTTGTGTAATGGATGGCACCACTCCATCTCTCTCACACACACGCACTCGCGCAAAAAGTTTTGCGCCAGTCACTGCCAATCCACGGCGCTGAAAAATTTAAGCACTGGTTATACTTTGCCAGCGCACACTTGGTAAGTACGCCAGAAGCACGAGCTCACAGTGGGCCAGAAGACCGGTGGAAGCGGTGAAAAACCCGGACGAGGTTTGAGCTCCAGAGCCGCTGGATGGGACTCTAACCGCACGTGTGACCCCACCAATGGATTCCTCGTTCGGAGAGCAATCCATTGGTGGGGTCACACGTTCGATTCAAGTCCCACTTAGCGACTCTGGAGCTCAAAAGGTGTCTAAGAGATTGCCGACTGCGCGCGCCGGGCTTCTGGCCCACTGTGGAGCAGCGGACATGCAATGGAGTATCATAGCTAAGTACACTGCTCCCCGCTCCGAGTGGAATCCATCCCAAATAGTTTCTGCGAATGCACCGCTTTTCCATAAATCTGCGGAGGACCCCCTCCCCCCTCCCCCTCGGGCCGCAACCGGACTTTCTGAGCGAATTGGATGGGAAAGGGGAGGGGTGGTGGGAAGAGTCGACTGAGCACCCACGCACTAGGATTGGCTCATGAGTCATCCGAAGAGGGGGGAGGGGGGAGGGGGGGGAAACTGCAGGGGCCAGCGAGGCCATGCGGGCAGGCCAAGCGCACAGTGGGCCAGAAGACCGGTGGAGGCGGCCAAAACTCTAAACGCGTTTTGAGCTCTAGAGTCGCTAAACAGGACTCGAAGTGACCGTGTGACCCCACCAGTGGATTTCTCTCACGGAGAGCAATCCTTTGGTGGGATCGCAGGCACGGTTCTAGTTCTATTTAGCAACTCTGGAGCTCAAAACTCGTCTAGAGTATATGTCTTACGGTGAAAGGCTGCACCAACATATTACAGTGGAGTTGTCTCCAATACCAACGAAATCCGTCAAAATATCTATAAGGTACAGTTAATTCTCAATATAGTATGTTATGAGGTCAGCTGCACCACCATAATATGGAACATTACCGTATCATGGAGAATCTTTACTGTACAACATTTAGAGTGCGGTTTTTCAATATTGAAAAGTGAAGAATGTACACTGGTAAAACTTAAGCGTAGTATTATCCACTGTTTTCAAGCGTAATCAGTTTACGCTTGAAATCAAGCGTAACAGGCTCATCCGCCGAGATTTCTCCTATCTAAATGCATGGGGGAATTTCCAGAGTATGCTTGATTTCAAGCGTAACGTCTTCAAGCGTAACTTTATGCTTGACTCAAGCATAGAGTTACGCTTTAGTTTTACCAGTGTATCTGCCTGTCTCACACCATCTTCCCCCAAGAGGTGTGCAACGCGGACACAAAGCCGAACAAAGAAAGGTTGTCTCCGAGGCGCTCAGATGGCAGTGAGAGAGAGACGGGGGAAGGGCGGGCCCACTGCAAAACCACAGACACCCGTCGTTAGTGGCCCTTTGTCTAACCGAGCCGAACTGAGTCAGCTGCCCTCTCGCCCGGGGCAAGTCTACTCCCGCCGACAAGTTTCATTTTTTTCTTTTATTTACACATTTGCGTCCGCGCTGCGAACCACTCGTCAAACTAAATGGAGCCGTCACGTGGCATTAGCCTGGAAATTATTTTTCCGAGAGGGAAGCGAAGCGGTCCAGCGTGGGCCGGAGGACCGGTCATCGTCATCGGCGCTGTTAGGCCTCAGCAGACCTTTAGCGTTCGAGTAAGCAACTACAACAAACACAGAACTCAGACTGCAAACCTCAAATGCAGGCTGTGTCTTGTCTGAGGCAGCCACCCTCTACTGGGGGGGTATGGGGCAACCTCCGTGGAAGTATGACCCATCCCAGGTTGAGGAAAGTGAGGTTCGTTGCCTTTGGACCCTTGAGTGTTGTGGAGACAGTGGAGGATGCATTGCGGTGTAGCATGGCGCCAGTCCTGCTCCTCACGTAGTTGTCGAACCTCTTCATTGCGGGACGGCGCCGCAGATGCGACGAACCGCACTGAGGCGGGGCTGCTGAAGCTGATGAAGCGGCGCCGTTGTCCACGAGTCTCTTTCAGAGGAAGTATCCCTCCAGCCGGCGGCCCCGCACGACTCCGCGTCCCGTTGACGTTGGCCCAGGAGGTGAGTGCACGGCCGATCACGGGAAGCTTCGCGGATGGCGGCAGAGACACGGTAGAGGAGAAGAGCAGTGGAGGCTTGATTGTCCCCGGTCGGGGCCGCAGGGGATCTGAAACATCTGCAGCACGCCAGGGAGCTCCGAACCGGCACTGCCACACAGCCAAGAGCCTGAAAGAGGGACCACTCCGGAACGCGACGGTACCCGCGCCGACGAAGGTGCCATGGAGGGCGATGGGGTACTGCAGACACACCACAACGACGTCTGGGAAAGCCGCACCGCAGCGCGCATACGCGTCTCGGACAAGTACAACCAGTGGAGAGGGCCTCCTGGAAGTTCGTGAGCAGCCCGAAACGGAGATAGGGTGGGTCCCGCAGCGCAGATAGTGAACTCCTTTTCAGTCTCGCACGGTGCAGAACGGAGCACCCTGAGACAGCTAGATCAAATCGGTGGACTACTCCGGGACTCCAACGGCCTGCATGGAGGCCTACAGGGCGGAGCAGTGCTCACTGTCGCAGCTTCTGGAAGTCCACGCAGAGCAGTTAACCTCCTGCGCGGAGTGGCAGAATGATGCGTAGGGTGACGGCCTGGACGATGGTGGACAGTGGCGGATCCAGAGGCGGCCTTTGGGCGGAGCAGAGGAGGTTGGTGCCTGTGTACAGGGGCAAAATGTGGCCTGTGCCTATTGTTCTGGCGACTATCGGTGCCGTGACGGAGGCGAAAAACCCTTTGCTCCTCTCCTGCATCCGCGTGGGAGCGGACGTACGGAGCGCATGGCATGCGAGGCAAGCCGACGCAAACGCATCAGGTGCGTGGTAAAGGTCCTGTGTCCCCGCATTGGAGGCAGTACCGCGGAAATTGGAGCAATGTACGAGGGCGTCCCTGCTGCCAAACGGTCCAATGCAGGGCTGTTAACGTTACTGTAACGGTGTATCGCGTTACAGTACCGCGTTACTTCGTTACGTAACGATAACGGTAACTCATTACATTTTCCAGCGGGCAGTATCGGTAACGCGGTACCGTTACTCAGGCCAGTAACGGCGCGTAACGGCGTTACATTTTACTCGTTACATCAGTGTATTTTAACGGGAAGACATCTACAACTAGGTTGGTTGCTGTTTCTAAGCGCTTTCGCTGCAAACGAATGACATGCACTCCCTTCCCCCTCACCCTGCCTCTTTTGGCAAGCAGGAGTTTCCTTCAGTGACCTACGCAATTCCCTTGGAGACAAAAGTTTAGAGTGTGAGGTGCTCCTCCGAGTGAACAAGAAATATTGGCATTGAAAGCCCTCATGAGACTTTACTCTAGAATCTCGCTAATTGTACAATTACAATTATTTTAAGTCTTAATTTGATCTCAAATAATGTCCATTTATATTATTTGCAATAAATGTGTTTCTTTCCATGTTTATAGAAACTGACTGTAACTT